AGGCGGCTCCAGGGCTGCGGCGACCCACGGTGCCGGGAGAGGCCAGTCACCCTGCTGCGCTGTGTTCCCCAAACGCTCTCTCTTCCTTTCTACCTCTTCTCTCCCCCCAATCGGGGGCAGGTGCAGTCACTGAAGCAGCGTGCTGACAGGGCGGGGATGCTGAGGAATAGAGACAGGGTAGGAGTCAAGCACGAATAGGGGACCCAGGTGCCACGGAGGAGGAAGCGTCCAGGCCCACCCTGCTGCTTGGACCTCCTCTCCCACCCCAGCTCCCAGGACCCAACAGCCCGGGGTCGGAGCCTGGATAAGAACCTGGCTGCGGCAGGGTTTTAGAGGAGGTGTACAGAGAACTCATTAACTGCCCCCTCCCCTCACCCCTCCCTATGCCCTGCGGCTACTGGAGAAACAAGGGTACTCTGTGCTATTATTGCAAGAGCTTCTCTGCCTGTGGGTTGCAGGCTGGGTCACAAAGTTCTGTGGTGAGGAACACCCCTTTTCTGTCCGTTCTCCTTCCACAAGAGAGGGAGACCCTGATGATGATGAGACTACACAGATGACAGAAGATAAAAGATAATAATGGTGCCCTAGCTGGTTTGGCTCAGAGACAGAGCTCGCCGAAGACTGAAGGGCCCGGGTTCAATTCTGGTCAAGGTCACGAACCTCAGTTGCAGGCTCAAGTGGAAGGCAACCAATGAATGTTTCTCTCTCACATTGATGTTTCTCTCTCTGTCTGTCTCTCCCCCTCCCTTCCACTCTCTCTAAAAATCAGTGGAAATTTTTGGGTGATGATTAACAAAAACAAAAACAAAACAAAAAGATAATAATGGTGACTGCTTAGATACCCTAGGTGGGTGAACTGCGGCAAAATGCAAACCTTGCCTACCACTCCAAATACCTGGCTGTCTGGTCTCCACCCTAAAAAGCACTCAAGCTAAGGTCGACCCAGACTGGCAACAGTGTCAGTCCCCTAAGGATCAGGGTGCTCACAGTGGTCCCACCACTCACTGGGCCCTCTGACCCCATGTCCCAAGTGCAGACACGGGGGTAGAGGGAGAAGGAGCTGTCAGAAAGCTGAACGGCATCTGACTTGGAACATTGATTTTCTCAAACCAGGACACACCGGAGTCTTGGATCATCCTAGAAATGTTTCCAGTGTGTAGATGGAGCCAACTGCTCCTGTGTTAGGGAGCGGACCGATAGGGAGAGATTCCACCATCACCATAGTCATCTTGGCACTGGGTGGCATGTGGCTGTTTTGCAATGATTTTCTTAGAAAGGGGCAGAGGAACCTTAGTGTGAGGAGGAGAACATCTCATCTTATACAAGCACAAATTATTGCCACTGCAGCAGACTATTGTTACTATTGGCAAAATGTACTTCAATCTTCTATCTGTCTATCTATCTATCTATCTATCTATCTATCTATCTATCTATCTATCTATCCATCCATCCATCCATCCATCTATCTATCTTATCTATCTCTCCCCCACCCCAAGACTTTGGCTCCCCTAGGCTCTCACTGGTATCATCCCAGCCAGTTCCCCCATCCATGCATACTCCCATCTCTACAAGCTCCTTCAGCAGGGAGGATGGCCCAGACATGGACCTCTGAGGCCAGATTCCACTTGACTGGCCAACCTCTGACAGAAGCCCTGAGAAATGTCATTCTAGGAGCTGGCCCTGGAGTCTCTGATGCAGCTGAGGGACACTGTCAGACCTCCCAGACTCCCAGGGCAGGGACAGAGTGCTTCCCTGCAGTGCTCTGTGCCTCTAGACCAGCTCCTTGCCCAGTTGGCAGGGACCTGTCTCATTCCTCAGCTTGTTATTCTAGCCTGATGAGCGTCAAACCTCTGGCATCCATTTCCACTCTGAATGACCTAATCAATTTTTATAATAGCAAAATGATGAGTTCCCTGCACATACACATAGGTCCTTTGGGGAACCAGCCCCATGATGAATGACACTTTTGCCCACTGAAGCAGCATTTAAGTCCCTGGATTCCAGCTGGCTATCCTAATGCCTTTGCTTCAGCCCTAAATTGTTACTATAGCTTCCTAAGGATAGGGCCTTGCTACCTCAGGCCTCTCCCCACATAGGTCCATCTTTCCTGCACCTTCCCGTCTTTGCTGTGATCATGCCCATTTGATCTGATTAAGTGACTAATGTTCCTAGGCCAGTGGTCAGCAAACTGCGGCTCACGAGCCACATGCGGCTCTTTGGCCCCTTGAGTGTGGCTCTTCCACAAAATACCGACTTCTATGCATGGGCCACGAAGTTTCAATCTCACTGTACATGCGTGCCCGCACATGGTATTTTGTGGAAGAGCCACACTCAAGGGGCCAAAGAGCCGCATGTGGCTCACGAGCCGCAGTTTGCCGACCACGGACCTAGACCACAGTCTCCAATGGCTCCCCCAAAGCTATAAAAAATTTAGTCCTTTAACACTTGAGGTTGTGATTCCCAACAAATTATTCCAGCTTCACCTTCTACCTCTTACTTATCCCCCAGTACTCCATACTCAGCCCAATCACTGGCCATTTGCTTCTCTTATTGCCCTTGATAGAATGCCATCTTCTTTCTCCTCCTCTTCAAGTATACAGCTCAACTTAGGCTAGACCTTTTTGCCAGTAAGCTTTTTCTTTGTGGGATATCTTGACCCAATCACTTTGATACCATCACTGCAACCCTAAGACCATTTAATTCTGCCATGCCTTCGAGAACTTTAGGCAAGATGTGCGTTCTCCCTCGGGGAGCATGCCCATGCCTTTCTCTTCCCCCTCTGCTTCCCCGACAGGCACACATCTCCTAAACTCTAAGGGACCTCCCGAGACTCGAAATCGGGAGCAATGGGCAGCGGCAGCTCTTTCCAGGCCAACCCCCTGAACCTGTTCCCGAGGCCCCCTTTTCTCTGACTCTCCAGTGAACCAACAGCAGCCCCACCTTGACTCACTTCTTTCCCATAACATTTCTAGAGCCACAGCAGCCCTGCCTAGTCTCTCTCTCCTGTTGCTTCTTCTCTCCTAGGCCATTCCTTGTTTCACTGTCTTCAGCTTTAATAAACGTATCCCCCCCGCCCCGCCCCCAAGAAAAAATAACTTCAGACAAGACACCTAAATTATAGCCTCCCTCTCTCTCTCTCATAAAAGAAAATACAATGGCAGAAGTCTTAACCAGGAAAACAGTAAGGTAAAATGCATTCAACTGGCAATTTTACTCCTAGATATATACCCAACATAAATCAAAATATACATCACACAAAAATTTATACATGTATGTTCATTGCAACATTATTCATAACTAGAGGCCTGGTGCACAGATTGGTGCACCGGTGGGGTCCCTCGCACAGGTGCATGATTGGGGCTGGGGAGGAACCGTGGGAGGGCTCCAGGCTGTGTCCGGCCCATCTTGCCCAGTCCTGATTGGCCAGACCCCAGCAGCAAGCTAACCTACAGGTCAGAGTATCTGCCCCCTGGTGGTCGGTGTGTGTCATAGCAACCAGTCGA